GATGGTGTAAGCGAGAAGTCGCCGCAACCAACCGGAATGATGACACGTCGTCGTTTGTCGATGAGTGGTGGTCGCCTTGATGATGGAGCAGACGCTAGCGCCAAACCAGTTGTGAGCGAAGCTCCAGACACTGCGCCGCGCAGACGTTCATTGCGCACCGAAACCGCTACAGTCAAATTCGCCGCAGCGCCACCGAATAACGAAGTGGATGAAACGAAGAAATCTAAAATTCGAATGCAGCCGAGTAGAATACCAGTGCGCGCTTCAAGCAGCAAATTGGCAACAAGTATGAAAACAAAGATTGCCACGCGCGTTTCTACTTCGTCGCTTGCGTTGGCGCCAAGGACGGTTGAATCCAATTCGAGCAGCGGCAGCGGTAGTTCGGGCACCGAAGAGACGATGAGAACCTTAGGCGCAGCTATGTTGCGTAGACGCGCACTGGCTACCAAAATGACGCGTATCAACTTGGCGCAACGCACCAAAGGCAACCCGATGCCGATGGAGTTGGCGAAGCCGGCGCGCGTACGTACACCTGTTAAAAATGTGCCATCAGTTTCGAAATTGCGTCCGAGGAAACCTTAGGAGCTACCTACTTACCTACTTATATACATACATATATTTTTATAGTATTGTCGTTGAAAACTATGTAGTCCTTTGTCATTATATATGTATACTACATAAGTTTTAGGCTAATTATTACTTTAGATTTGTGTGTATACATACATATTTCATTCTGATTTATTTTTTGGTACAAATTTATTAGCATCCGCTTGAGGCCTATACAAATTCGAATAATACATACATATTAGAAAATTCCAAATATTTTAGATGAACTTACCATGAATTTTAAAATTTCTTATCGATTATTATGCATTATAATGCTTTAGCTACCTATTAAATAAAATGAATTTCGAATTTATTAAAAAAATGTATATGGCGACGCTTTGTTCTTTTATTTATTGCGCAAAAATATATTAAGCGCTTAGATTGTGCATGGTTAAAGTTTATGGCCGAGCTTCGCCCCCTATACGTGGTGAACATCTTCGTATTGTTACGCAAATGAGGGACCTGCAGCCTTAACGGCAAATGTTTTTTTTATGAAACTTTTTTTTTATGACAAATAATAGTCTTATCATTCCTTACATTTGGAAATCTAGGAGAGTGGTCCCACTGGTAAAACCTGTGTGATTAGAAAAATAAGAGTCTTTTATGCAGACAACCCTCCGAACTGCAAAAGTGAAAACGCTTTAGGTCTTGCTACTCTTCACGTCCCATTTCAGCCCGGCTAAATATCCACGTAGCTTACGTTAAGTGCACAGTAAGTACCATAACATAGCACCAAGGTAACATACGGCGTTAATCGCAATTATCCCTGCGAGAGAACAGTCCTTGATATTGAAGCCTCCCTTTTACCACAGGTAATAAAGCTGTGGACTGCGCATCATACTTATGTGAATGTGGTCGAAATCGTCAGCAATTTTAGAAAAAAAATCATCTATCGAAACTCTTCTCCGGCCGGCAGTACTTTGGGCAAAGACAAAATAAATGTTTTGGCCAAATAAAAAGCGATTGGATCAGCCGGATTTTAGCTTTGCTACACTAACATGGTCGCCATGGACTTGCCAAAATACTGCACTGCGGACAGCCATGGAAAGCTTTCTGGTGCTCGCTGATGTCCTAAGACGACAACGCATCTTGAAGCTGAGTCGTTTCTCTAGAACATCAGAAGGCATCTAGATGAACCAACGCACGATATATACACATTAATTACTCAGCTAACATCTGGTTCCCTTTAGGTCTGACTTCGACGAACCCCACACGTTTTCCAGGCCTAACGTTCTGTACAGGGCTAATGGTCTAACTGAAGTCAGCAAGTCCACATATTTAGGCAGGCACGCAGCAAGGAATATCTATAAAGCGATTCAAAATATATAGAGCTTTCTTTCCATTTTATGTTCGTCAGTAAGTACATATGTATATTCTCAAAATTCCATTTCTTAAATCATTTTATAGGGCGGTCGCTGTGGTGTAGTAGTTAGCAGTGCGCGTTATTACTCCGTAGGGCCCAAGGCACATTAAACAGGTAGTATCAGTAGAGCAAAAACAACATTTGCGTGTATTTTGTTGTTGCTTCTGGTATCGAAAGTGTCAACAACTGTTCTGAATTTTTTCTTCTAAATCAAAGCGTGCCATGTGAAATACAAAAAATTATAAAAAATAAAAAATTGAAATCGGAAAAAATAAAAATTGATGCAACTTTCTTTCCTAGTAAATTTATTTGCTTCTCGAAGCATTGATCCATCCTTTGCAATGCCCAGTAATCAGCGGTCGTGCTGCCGAGTTGGGCGAACGTTCCAAAAGCTGCTATTCAATCGCTTGTTTTGTATGGAAAAAGGTTTCACAAGGTTTTTCGTGAGAAAAAATTAAAAATATTTGACATTTTCGAGACCAAATAATTTGAAAATAAATCAAATCAGCTGCTCTACTGATACTACCTGTTCAATGTACCTTGGTAGGGCCTGGGTTGAAGCTCTAGTCAAAGCAACATCGCAAAAAAATGTAGAAAAAAGGTTTTTTTCCTGACAGTGGTCGCCCATCGGCAGACAATGGCAAACCACCGAGTGTATTTCTGCCATGAAAAACAGCTTCTCATAAAAATACAATCGCCGTTCGGAGTCAACGCTTGAAAACATCAAGGCGCATGCCTCAAATCGGAGGAGAAGGCTCGGTTAAACACTGTAAGCGCCAATCTATTATTCGATGGCTGAGTGGAAGATCGACCTATCTCGGCAGCCAGTTCGAAAACGCTCTATCTCAAAAAACTTTTCAAGAACGCCCTATTTCAGAACTCGTTTCAAAAACGCCCTATCTCAGCTGCCGATTCAAAAACGCCCTATATCAGCACATTTTCAATACATTTTGAAGTGAGATAGGGCGTTTTTGAACCGAATTTTGAGATAGGGTGTTTTTCAATTAAATTATGAAATAGGGCGTTCTTGAAAAGTTTTTTGAGATAGAGCGTTTTCGAACTGGCTGCCGAGATAGGTCGATCTTCCACTCAGCCATCGTATTATTATTATTAAATCATTTTATAACTATGATGGAAGTGGGTTTGCAGTGGGGGGAATATAAAAACTACTTATGTATGAGTAAATATCTTAGGGGTTTTCGCAGAGAAGTATTTAGACTATGACTTGCCGGAAAGAAGGGTGTGAATGAACCATTAAACGACCGATCCAAATCCTTGACAGAAAGCTAAAGTGAGGACCAAATATCGAGGAGTGAGTGAGGAAGGTATCGGTTGCCTTTACTGCTGTAAAAGCGCTATTGGGAAGAGATATGATCCCTCCTATAAGGTTATGTTCTGGCTGTACGAAGCCACCATTAAACCTATTGTGCTGAATGGGGCCACTGTCTGGTGGAACTCACTAGAAAGGTTCACACTAGCCAAGCGGCTGGCACGGGTGCAAAGGGTTGGAATTAGTCGGGGAATTTCGAACCACTCCAACGCTAGCTCTAGACATTATATTAGTAGACAGTGCAGCAAAGCTTATGTGATCCACTCTGCCACCAGGCTGAAGTATGCTTGATTCTCTCTCTCTCCCCTGAGTATAGGCACTCGGTTATATTAGGGAAATCCAACTTCATACCCATCCACGGTATAGTATCTGAAGCAAAGGACCGGTGAATTTTTTCAAGCACGTGTCGAAGCTTGATGTCAGAGTTGGAGGAGGTGTCTTTTTTGAGGAACTATTCTTAGATAATAGCTTTAAGTCATAGGATTTCTATAGCGCAGTCGATCAGTTGCGCACTTGTGTAATACCGTTTAAAGAGGTATAGATCTACTCTAACAGCCAAGCGGCGATCAAAGCTCTGGGATCGCTGATGTTTAGATCAAAATTACTCTGTGATTGCCTGATCTCTATCTCTCTCTCTCTCCTTCTCCCTCTATCTCTCTCCCTCTCTCTCTCCCCTCTCTCTCTGATCTCGAAACGATTCAAGTCAGAAGATGGTTCAGTACAAAAAAAATTACCCTAAGAGGAACAAGCTTGATTTAAATAGTTCAAGTATTAACACGCTCTGGGATTTTGGGTTAACAAACTGGCAGCAGAATTGGGGAAATGTGAAGTGGCTGTTCAACCAATCGGAACCGATTATTGATTGGAGTAGAATTTGAACAGTTTGGCAGATCCGGCACTTCTTATTCAAAAGATGCCGATACCGCTGGTGCAGCAAAATAACTAAGTGCCTTCTGTATCGAGGCCATTTTCTCCGGGGAAAGTTTATGAAGCAGCTAACGCAAGAAACTGCGTCATATGGATAGCTATCAACATTTTTGTGGGGTTTCGGGGGCCTGCAGGTAGGAAAAACTAATCTATAGATATTATTTGAGACACAATTAACAACCACTAAATCTTTCGTCGGCAAGGTTAACCACAACTCATTACCAACTTACAAAGTTTGGGCTGCCTTGTAAGACCTGCCTTACCCTTTCAAGATCCATGTTTTCGAAATAGACAAACATATACGTACAGATTGTTGCCCTAATATGGAATAACCCTATCTAAACTTTTGTCTTTACATACAGAGTAGTTACAAGCAAAAGTTTATAAAAACTAAAGTTCTTAATTTGGAAATTTCTTCAAAAGCCTAGGTTTCAATAAACACCTAAACTAATTTATAGATTTAGTATTGCTTTTTAAAATTTATTAGGACTTTAGTGAGTAATCTATCGACCTTTGTTTAAAGCAAAATTTTTGAAAGAAAATCAGTAGTGCTCTATTAAGGTAGCGATATGTATGTAGGTTCAGTATATGAACAAGCCTCATCAAAATTCGACTAACTACTCCTTACATTCCCATAGAAGCCACATCAAACTCTTTTTCTCTACCGAAACGGTACGTCCCTCTGTCCTACCGACCCTCTGTAAACTCCCCTATTGGTAAACTCAAAATAAATGCAACAACAACAAAACTAGCATTGTATCTTATCTTCGTACGCGTTGACATATCTTCGACTTAAGTACAACTGAGTTTAATTACGCCAATATGTCGTTCGAAATTAATTCATAGTTTATCAAAACCTTCCATCTGTTCTTCACATCTATATAAGGCACCAACTTTGTTACAGTGGGACACATGCTACTTTGTGAGTGTTTGTTTCAGAGTGCAAATATGAAGCTCACAGCTGTGCTGTGTTTTGTAACTTTAGTCTACGTAGCCAATGCAATATCAGGGTTTGGACCACCTATCGGTATTGTCGACGAACCAGAATCACCTCTAACTCCACCAGTACTGCACGTTGAACCAGAATATATATTTGCGGAAGAACCAGCGCCTGTACATGAAATTGCCAAGCACCCGCAGGATGGTGACATTCCAAAGCCTAAATACCCTGCAATGCGGAACTGAATTGTGAAATGTTAAGCGAGAAATGAGCAAATCAATAAAAAAAATCTATATATAAAATCATAACAAAGTGTGTATATTAGGGCTGTGCGATTATTCGATTACTCGACCAAGTTGGTTAATCAATTATTCGGTTAATCAATTACTCGAGTAATCAAGATTTTTATTACTCAAAACGATGATTAATCGAGTTACTTGAAATATGATTACTCAAAAAAATAATTTTGCTCGTTAAAAGAGTTTCCTTTGGAAAATGCTTATTTTCTTTTTTACATTCTGTATATGAAAAAATTTTTCGTTTTAATTTTTGAAAACAGAAACGTTGATTTCAAAGTATTAAGGAACTTCCCCGCAAACATATTCTGAGCGTTCAGAATATATGAGTCCGAAGGGAGTCCTAGGTAGGTAAGAAATATGAGTTTCAAAAACCAAAATTTTTTTACTCTTATATGAATTTTTTAGGACTCATATATGATCCAAGTTATGAGCCAGCACCTTGTGCCAATATAAAAACAATAAAGATT